ATCCAAATAAAGCCGAGGTTCCCCACCGCGGAGACCGAGCGGGGAACGAAGTTTCCGTTGCGCTCCGGCTCGCTCGCGAGATCCCTCCGCGCGAAAAATCCCTTTCCCTTCCCCTCAGCCGTTTATAACTGGAAAATACATAACCGAGGCGACTTCGCAGGGGGGGAGGGGATGATCCGCATCGCGGGGAAGAGCGACGATAAACGAGCGAGGAATGATTTCGCGTTGATTCGTCAATTGACAAATGAGACGAAACGCAAAAGCGAGACTGACGGAGGGGATTTTTGCGTTTCCCAAATTTTCCTCCCCGTCGAGCAAAATCGCCTCTCGAGCTTTATACATCCGTCCTCGTTTCACACTTTCAGACTGAGGAGTCGCGGGATCATTTAAATACACGCGTCTTAAAGGTACAAGTCGGTTGTTCCGCCAAGGCCCTCTGCTTCTCACCTACACCTGAAAATCTAGATCCGGACGTGAACATCGACATCGGTGTGTGCACCCGGTCCTAAGACTCTCTCTCTCCCTCTCCCTCCCTCTCTCTTTCTCTCAGACACGGACTGCACCTATCCAGTCCGCCTCTTCTCTCCCCTTCTTCCTCTCTCCTCCTCAATTCCGTTAACCAAAGAGGAACCCGTACAGTACTTCGAGCCCGAAGCGGGACTCGCGGGCTCCGCCGAGTCCGTGCGAGTCTGAAAATTTCACGAGGTGTACAGGCGAGTCGCGCAAACGCGGCAGGCAAAATCGGCGGAGGTGGCGGCGGACGCGGAAACATTTGCGGACGAACCTTCCGTCGGACGAATCAATAACGGGAACCCTCGAGTGCGAAGGAGGTACCTCCGTACGGACCGCGCGCGCGGGGATGTCCCACGCACAATGGCAGCGCGCCCCCCTGCTCGCCCGCGCCCTAGCGGAAATCCAGTTTCGTCGGGCGCAGGTAGCCGCGGGTGCCCCCGACAATTTTCTCTCGCGAATTTCCAGCATTTATTTTCCTTATTATACCGGCCGCGCCGCCCGGCGTGATGTCGCGCGCCGGTGCGCGCTCGGTTGCGTTACACGCTGCGCGTTCCTCGTGACCCACCGGTCGGGTCGCGTGGCCCACGGCTGGCGATGTGATCCCCGCGAGTGTCGCTCTGCAATAGGTGTTTCAAGCCCCGAGAAGTTGACCGATCACAGTCGAATTACAGAAGAATAATCAATTTTGATTGGTCGATTTCTTAAGGCTCAAGGCTTAAAGTATCTACTGTAGACCGACACTGACGCGATCGGAAGGAAGGTTAGTTCTGCGATAGGTGCTCCAAGCTCTGAGACTTAAGAAATCGACCGGCCACAATCGAATTGTAGAAGAATAATCAATTGTGATCGGTCAATTTCTCCAGGCTTAAGGCTTAAAACTCGATTGTAGACCCGGACTTACGTGAGCTCGGGCGATCGCGAGGTGCCGGAAAATGCGCGGAGGCCAAGGGATGAGATTTGAAAAATCTAAGAAGAGATCGGCGTCTGCTCCGCTGGGATATTTTGCACTGCGTGTCTAGCGCTTCGTGAGCGAGATATTCATTGATTTATCGGGATTACCGTCGTTCAATTTTGTCGTCGTCGAAGCGCTCATGGCCCGAGGAGAGGTTTTGGAAGGGGCGTCGTTCCTGGTTGGTACGTCACTGATCGAGACGGAGGGCGACTCGCAACGTGTAACATGGCCGAGGCCTTGTGCCCCCTCTCGCCGCCCTCTCGGTCTGAGCCGCGCGGACGAGCTTTCAAGGTCGGTCACATTCAGCTGGAAGATCACTCGTCCGAGCGCCGCCAGGTCGCGCCACGTTACGGCGCACGTGGAACACGTGGTGCGACGGAAGTCGCGGGATATCTCGGAGTGGGGGAGCCCCCGACAGTGCTACCTGTCGCGTTGGATCTTTCCTGAGACTTGGAGAGTCGCAGGGATTGGGGAAACGGTCGGTAATGTCGGTATTTCGCGATTGTCTTTGGGCTTGCTTTTCACAGCAGAAAATTTGCGCAGACCCCTGATTCTGTATTTAACGGCAGTGTCGTTGTCATTATGGTGTCGTTGCGCGGGTATAACAGGTATGGCAGAAAAGCTGCGCAACGATAACGACGCGTCGTTGAAAATTACCAGAATCAGGGGTCAGGGATCGACGAATATAAAAATAGACACCGGACACTATTTTGCTGGATTCTATCAGCCGTAAATATATCAAGAATGTGAGAACGCACTTCGGAGAAACTCGAGACGGGCACCACATTACCTCATGTCGGTAAAGTTGTAATGAGATACGATGTTATAACTGAAAGATGATACGAAGTTACCGACCGTTGTAACGAAAGGTTTCCCTTACCAAGAGTCGATAAGAAGGAAATGATTACAGAGATGGTAAGAATTTTACCCGGAGAAACAGGCGTTTGAATTTTTACATAGAGGAAACTATGATATGAACGTACGACGCACAAGCTTCAAAAAATATCGTAAAGATATATATAGTCGGTTGATGCAGATGCTGAGCATTCATTTGACATCTAGCGGGGAAGAGATATCGTCAACTATAAAATTTCATATAGCATTCATACGAATTCAACTACATGTTAGACATGCACCTTATCACTAAATTATTAATATATTAGTACACAATTTTTGATAAACACAAGCTATATATAAAGATTGTGGCGAATATTGTTGCAAAAGTATCGCATGCGACAGACAAGGAAAAGAACGACGTTAGAAAAATGAGAGATCGTTGTGAATATTTAAAAGGACAGCGTAGATATATATATATATATAAGAAAAACGCCACGAATCGATAAAAAAAAACGGTTCAAACTATTTGGGAATCAATTATTGGCAAATTTCAATCAAGATAATGGACAGCGAATAAATGTGATGATATTTGCTTTACCCCATGTTGCGTGAGTCCATAATTAATGTTAAACGCAGGAAACACGTTGAAACATCGAATAAGAAACATTGGACATAATCGATGTATATATACGTACTAAAGCTCGAGAACTACTTTCTCACGGTTTCGCAATGGTCGTAGGATAGAGGAAGAGTTAAGAGAAGCGAGCATTCCGAAATGTCGAAGAACAAGATAGCGTCAAATCGGTGGCACTCAAATGCCACGAAAGGTCACACAAGATACAAGTCAGAAATTATTCTTTTTGCAGGTTACTCAAAGATTACGGGCTTTCAAATAGTCAAGTCACTGGAAAAACACGACGTAGGGCGATTTGTTCGAGCGATAATCGTGGCAATCACGTGGGAGTATCGACTAAGATTGACGAGAGACGTATCTTCTTTCCTTGTAACGCATCGGTTCTATTAATTAACATTTCTTTAATTATATATTCGTTACTTTACAATGCTTGACTCTTCCCTCACATTTGCAATTGTTTTTAACATCAATCGTAAGCACATTTTGCTCTTATTTTTTCCCACATATTTTTTTTCAATTTTATTCCTCCAAAAAAAGAATATATATATATATATATATATATATTGTTAATATCAATATTCTTATATCGCGATGTTATTATATCGTCGGTGGACAGCCAAATGTTAATTTTTGCTTCGTAAATAAACATTATTCGGTCAGAAATTTCCTTTAGTAAGAGACACCTTTTGAGCTTAAAACTTTGTAAGATATACAGTAATATAAAAACCTATCACAACGATTTAACCAGTTAACTGTGGCGATCTCTTTGCAAAGCGCCCACCAGTGTGTGTCGCGATAATCAAGCGAGTTAGCTCTCAGGAAGTTATAAATCCAACTCAAATTATTTATAATTTTCATTTGTTTGTTTCATTTCGTCTTGACCTCTAAACATTTTACCCATATTAAAATTTACGAATATAATTTAATTTTCGCCAGAATTACAATTTAAATATCAAATTGTAACAAAATTTTACGCATGACGGATATAGTCGTCATGACACAAGATTCTGCCACATCTCCATGACGGATATAGTCGTCAAACACACTTAACTGGTTAAATATACAATATGCACATAATCTAAAGGAATACACATGACAGTCACATTATCTGAAAGATTTTAACAAACAACCACATCCTCGAGTGATCTAATGTTTCTTCTCGATAAAATACATATATAAAGAAACCATTATATAATATTTATATAATACACGTCAGTCCAAAGATGATTGCCACTTATCGCTTACAAAACCACCCCTTCACGGCGGCCACCCTGAAGCCGCGTTTACTCTCGCGTCTTGAGTGGCGGTTCTACGGCTCCCTCCTACCCCTCCAGCAATGCTATCACGAACGACGGTACATCGGCAGCCAGTTCTCGGGAAAACCGTCCGATCCAGCTAGTCACGCGAGTAAAAATCCGATTTATTGATTCCCGAATTCGTCGTAGAGTTCGTGTCCGATCGTTCGCGATAGCGCCGCTGGGAGAACGAGAGGGAGCCGCTGAGAGGTTCACTCGTGGACGCGGGGTGCGTCGCGACCTCCTGGCGGATAGAACCCCTCAGGTAAGAATCCGGACATCTCCGACTTCTTACTGATCGGTCTGGTCCCTTACTCGATCCAAAATGGCGGGAATGAGGATTCTCAAATGAAAGAATTCTATTTGTAATTAAATGTTATTCTAAGATGGAAGATAATTAACGATAAAATATGGAAAAAAAATAATTTTCGAGAAGGTAAAGTTTTCTTGATAAATAAAGTATTGTAAATATAATAAGACGAATAACGTGTATGTGTATCCTCAGAAAAATATGCCTGAACTCGATGTTCCTCATAGACATCCTTCATAGACGTATCCCAGCGAGGAGCCGGACGCCACTTTTGGGCGAGAAGTGTCGAGGATGCCCGGGCTCTTACTTGGAGGGATTCTATAATGGCGGAGGGCTCGCCGACGACGTCGTGTTCTCCGCATGCCACTCGCGCGCGCGCCCGCGCGGTGCTCTTTCTTTCTTTGTGCTCTCTCTTTTCTTTTTTTCTCTTGCTTACTAGCGCAAATCTCCGGCGCTTACCTTTCTTGATGAGCAAGCTAGTGACCCTCCGTAGCGCCTCGCGAGTGCTGGAGGCGGAGCTGTGCTTACTTTGGCCGAAGTATTTGTTGGGCGTGATGTTCGTGGGCAAGGTGAGCGGCTTCCTCTGGTCCCCGGTGCCGCCCGGCAGCCGCGCGTCGTAGGCGTTGTTCAGCCGCTCCAGGTGCTCGATCGAGGCCGGCCGCGGCTGGTTCGCCTTCCTGGTCGGGTACCATCCGCGATTCGGGCCGCCCGCCAGCCGCAGCAGCTCGGTGCCGATTATGGCCTGCTCCAGGCCGGGATTGTTCCGCCGGTAACTGCGTGGACGAAACGAGAACACGAGAGAGAGAGAGAGACCGGGGTCAGTGAAACACGCATAACGGAACCGCTCCCACGCGCGCAGGAAGCCGCAGGAACCCGAGCGGAGACCCCTCCTTCCCGCGTGCGGTCGAATATTTTTCTTTCTGTCTTTTCTCGCTCGCTCTGCGACCGACATGAATTTTTCTCGACGAACTCGCCACGCGGAAAGTAACAATTCCTCCGCGAACTTGAAAGTGCAATTTGTCGATCCCATCAGCTCGGATAAACGCAAGACAGAGCGCATCCTTTTCTATCTCGACCCCCCCACCTTCCAACGCTCAGTCTAGGTATATTATGTCTGCGACGGTGAGTCGAGAAGAAAGATTAGGTTTGGTTAACCTCGATATAATCAGTCCGAACAATAATATTCTCCCCATAATCTGCAGCCGCTCGGTGCAGCTCGGTACACCAAGAAAGGATTTTTTGAGTCACGCTAAAGGGAAATTACCACGAAAATAATACAATTTACTGGCACATAATAATGCTTTTAATTCCTGAGAAAACGTCGCGTCTCCATCAACATCCGGAACACTATTTCAACCGAGTCTCGATGCGACTGAACATTCCATACGAATGTTTTCAGTCGCGGTAACACAAAGAGATACATTTCTCTTCGTCAGGCTTTCGCTTCTTGTCACCCGAGTGTTTTCATCCGGTCATCCCTATTCAGTTCAGCGGGAGCTGAATTTTTTTAATTTCCCTCCTCCCCGTACGGGATTGCGACGGTTCGCCGCCTCTCTCTCGTTCCGAATTTTCTCCGAAATATTTTTTCCCCGTCGCGAAACTGAGCGTGAATTATTGCTTAATTACCCGGTAGCTGTGGTAGGTGCGTACCAGCCGGGTGGTTGCCGCCTCGACTGCGTGGGGTTGCCGGCGTGTTGCGGCGTTCGGGGGATGTCACTGCCCCTGGCGAACACCGGGGTCTCCGGCAATGAGCACGACGTCTGCATCCCGGATGCGGTGCCGGTGGTGACGCTGCCGCTGCCGGTTCCACCGCCGCCGCCACTGCCGCTGCCGCCGGACGACGAGCACGCCTCTGCCGAAGGCGAATGCCTCTTGGTGAACGGCCGGCGACGGGATGGTCCCGGCAGGTCGGTGGGCAGAGTCCTTCGCTCAACGGGTACCTGGGAAGCAAAAAGAAAAAAATCACGGTTCGTCGGGAAACGAGGGAGATATTCGAGAAATCTTCGAATCGGCTCTGAAATAGGAATCAACCAAATTTATCGCAACGAATATGATCATTCGCATAAAGTGATTCTAAACGATTCTGACATGTGTATGATAAAAAATCAGGGTGGAAATATCTATAAATATAATAGATTGCATTCACGCGAAAACTGCGAAAAGACACGCTTTCGGGAGCACAGCGATTGCTGTGGCCGACGGTCGATCTGATCTCCATTCATTATCGGGGGATAACGATAAGCGTTTTCGCGGCGTCAATAAATCAAAGTCGTCCCGTAGATGTATCGGAGAAACTATTAATCGGTTATCTCGAGCGGTTTTAACTCTTTACGTAGCGCGCGACGTTGATATGTAACGCCGTAGCTTCCCAAGGGAGCGACCGAGTCTCGCGCGTGTTGCCACGTTCCGCGCGCCGAGATAACTCGGACCTACGTACAATTAACGGACGGACCGGTATCTACGTGTACGAATTACCGAAACGGTAATTCCACGAGACCGGTCGCAACACAATTTCTCTGCCCCACCGTCCGAAAGCGACGCCGCTCGTGCTCGCATTCGTCTTCGCGAGCGAGCGACGGCGACGAGTCTCGACGAAATTGCACAACAGGCCGTTCCGGGCTCGAAGCGAGAAAATAGCGTGGAAAAAGGAACGACGACGATCGTGAAACGTCGGCTCCTTCATCAGGGACGTAAGGACGTCCGCGTGCCGCGATCGCCGGGAGAGAGAGAGGGAGAGAGAGACGGATAATTATTGCGCCGTAAATCATTGTTATCGCGCCATTCGAGCGCCGCCGCCAGCGGTGCCAGAAGAAATTCAACGGGCGAAAGTTCGCCGTTTCGTCTCCTGCCTGGTGACTTTTATTGTGAGAACGCCGGTGGCAATAATTAACAACCGAAACCGCCGCCGCGTTTCGGTCACGCGGGACGAAAGCCTGAAGAGAGAGACGGAGAGAGAGAGAGAGAGAGAGAGAGAGAGAGAAACGGAACTTTCGCGGACGGCGACGCGCTTTATCCCGAACTGTTCCTTCTCCGGAAGTTCCTCGTGGACGAACTCTTTTCTCATGGGGTCCGTTTTAACGCGACGTTGATGTCCCTTCCGCGCCTCAGCGTTCCCACCACCGGACTTTCATAATACTCACCGTACAAGCCGATATCCAGCACGATAACGTATCTCGATGGAAGATTTAATATCGAGCTGAAAGCTTCATAAACATAAATTTCAACTTTACACTTTCAACAGAGTTTTAAAGTCTAAAAATAAAATCGCGCGTCGGCTTTGGTTTACACGCTTATGCTCTACGCGCAACACCTTCTCCCGCTTTATCCCGCGCGTTCCGAGTGTTGTCGACGATCCATCCGTTAGCCAGAAACCACCACGAAGATGAAATCGTTAAGATGGCGAAGGGAGGAGAGTACGTGGGAGTGTATTATGGCCGGCGCGCGGGATCAGCCCCGCGCATTCGATTATCTCGCGTGGATCTTCCCCGACAGGACTCTCCTCCTGTTGTTAGATTAAAATTACCGCGGGTGAGCGAGGTCGACTTTATTCCACGGCGCGGTGGAAAGCTGGCGGAAAGGATGGCCGTAGAAAAAGGCGGCCAATATCCCTAATGAAAACTTGACGCAGTTCAGCTCGAACTCTCCTCCGGCCGTTTCCTCGTTCGGCCTCGTGCTCGTTTCTCCCTTCTTCCTTCCCTCTCCCGCCCGACCTTCGTAATCCCGGCAAACTTGCTCTTTTGTCCGCCACCGGTAATATGGAACCGTTAAGGAGCATCCCGCGAGTTTTTCGACGCCGGGACGAAGAAATCGAGTCTGGCTCGAGACGGCAACGGTATAAATCGCGCTGCCATCGTGCTCTCACGTCCGACGTTTATTTACTGCAACCTGCCGCATGAACGTCGTCGTTTCAGGGAAAAGAGGAAGAAGAAGAAGAGAGAGAGAGAGAGAGAGAGAGAGAATTATCGTCGATCATCCGGGAGAGGGAGGGGAACACGATTCCGAATTTGTATGAAGAGAATGCTCCTTTTTACCGCGCCTTTTTTAATTCTCCCTACTTCAAAGACACAGTTGGCTGCCATAGTTAGATTTTAGCTCCTATGGCTAATTCTTTCTCTACGTAAGTGTAACGAGCTAGGAAATTCAACGCAGCCTGTACTAGCCGGCTGTTAGCTTTAGACTCAGAGATATATTTCTACTCGGTGAGAGGTGGAGAGAGAGAGAGAGAGAGAGAGAGAGAAACTTGCGATAATAATTCTCTCTGAATTTCTCGAGACAAAATCTCACTGAAAATAAGCGAGAAAATACGAAAAACGACGATATTTTTAGTCGAAGTGACGGTAAAAATACTGTCACTCGAAATCGCGCAAAAGAGTGAGCGTTTTTGCTCGAGCTTAGACCGAATTCTGATTATACGCGACCGTTGAATGTTTCAATCGGCCGGAGTGAATTCGTTCCCACGATGTGATGGAACATCGCTCGGCTTCGATTTTCCGAGCGAGGATATTCACTCGGTGACTCGGAGAATTCACTACGCAACTTAAGCGAGAGATCACTCGAATCCGAGCGACTCGGCTGTCACTCCGCTTTTCGAGTGAAATTTCACTCCGAGAAATTTTCCAAGAAAACGATGTCTCGGATTACCGTTCCTTTCCGGCGGGTGAATTTCTCCCACATGAGTGAAATTCGGGGGGGGGGGNAGTCCGAAGGCGAATGAAGCCTCGGAATAAATAAACAGCGGGAATTTGCGCCGCGCATCATGGGAAGAGCAATCGGAGCTCCTTCGGAGGTCCTTCGTTTTCGTTTTCCCTCGAAATACGTCGTTCAATTCTCATGACGCGACTGAAGGGTGTACTCGATCGCAGGGATAATACGAGAGACCGGGAAGAGAGGAGACGCTCTCCTCCCATCCTCGTCCTCCTTTTCATCCAGTGAACGGAGGATCCTTTTCAAGCTGCATAAGATATCCGTTTCTCCCCAATACATGGCGGGATATAACGCGGAAATAATTCGTCTCCGATGAATCTATGCATAATCGATTCGCCGGGACCTACAACGACCCCCCGTCCTCTTAAAAGTCAGATCAGGCGATCCTGCAAAAAGAAGTGCGCGCGTGCGTGCGCAATCCGAAAAGCAGGGGAGATCCTTCGTCGTTTTTCGTAACTTTTTAATTTTCAACATCGGATATTTGCGGTCTCCGCGAGGAAGCCCCGGGGCTTCTCCCGGCCGGACTCCGCTCTAATGGAATTTTAATTCGACGCACAGTTTTTTTCCCTCCCCCCGAAGTCGGTTGTCTCTCGGCGAATCAAGTCGAGAATGAAACTTCCGCCGTTCACGTCGGGATTAGTCGAAGAACGAAGGATTCGCGCGCCGATTACCGATTTTCCCCTCTCGCCGAATTCATCGCTGAGACGATCGGAGGAAGCGCGCGCGCGTACGCACTGAGAGAAAAAAACAGTTAAAGTGACTATATATTTTATAGTCAATTTTGGCCTCAAATATGCGTTTTGTACTTCTTTCGAGCAAAATATAACAGGATGAACCTGGATTTATAGTCATAACAATCGTGACATTCATTCGTGCAGCTATATTTTATAGTTGTCATAAACTAAGAGTATTTATTTGTATATATTTATATAGCTTTATTGAATATAATTTTTAACTATACTATTATAGTTCCAAATATCATGCATTTTTCCTCCAGTGCGGTGCTGTCGGCCACAAAGAGCGGACTTTGCGCGAAGGACGATTTAGGGATACCCCGCGGAGCTGCGAAATGCGTCTTGCAATGCGGCCTGAGTCCTCTTTCGCGTCGCGGAAGGATTACAAGGATACAACGGCGTGTTCTCCTTCCCACCCCTTCCTGTCATTTCCCCGAGCTGGTCGCATCGAAATCCCCTACTTCGGAAACCACGACGGAAGACACACCTCCGACAGAGAAAGAGAGAAAGAGAGAGAGAGAGAGAGAGAGGTTTGGGCTTTCATTTCGCGCTCCTCTCCGTTCGATCGTTGGTCTCAAGAATGCATCGTTGAAAAAAATTGCCAATATTTGCGGCCGCGCAATACGACCTCGTATCGCATTGCATCGCGTCGTCGTTCACCTCTCCCTCCCTTCTCCGCCCGTTTTTTTTTACGTCCACACGGGGCTTCCACTTCGATCGCGTTCGTCCGGGGGTTGAGTAATAGTAACGACTACATCCGAGGCGGTGGGAAGGGAAAGAGAGAGAGGCCATAAATCTACGGTTTACCCTTGCAACGAAGACGTCGTCGTCGACGACGTTCGAAAGGGTGGCTGTAATAAATATAATCAAATGCAGATATATCACCGTATCTTGTTTCGCTTTATCCCGAAACTTCTCAAATTTCGCCGGACGTCGTCGTCGTCGTCGTCGGGGAGAGAAAGAGAGAGAGAGAAAATCGAGTCCCCAGGGCCACCAAAACTCCGCTATCCGCCACTGAATCCACCTCGATGTCTCTCTCTCTTTCTCTCTCTCTCTCTCTCGAGGATTATTGCACCGGAAAAACGTCACTCCAGCAATGAACGTCCGTCATTTCAATGATCGAGCACTCCGAACGCAGAAGGATCTCCCGATGTCACGGACGAACCACGAACGGAGCTTTCGCGAATGGTATATCGCGCAAGCGTCAGCGAGTTCGTTCGTTCACCGTGCGCGCAAATTTCAGACCGGTTTGAGAAATTTACGAGGAACAGCCGATGTTTCCGATTAATGAATAATCCGTGAAACATTGGTAAATTTAATGTGTCTCACAGCTCGCTCGGAAATATTATTATTAATTAAACTACATTCATTTTTATTCGTGCACGAGAAAGAAAAAAGTTTGGTCGAATTACACAGGAACAAATCAAACACGTTTCGGTTCGAAGGCGATAGAATTTCTGATTATGTGAACCGAATTGGATTCGTAAAAACCAGAAATTTTC